GCGTAGTTGTCAATCTGAATTGATATCAAATGCTAGAAAATGGATTTCAATTTAAAAATCTCTCCTTCATACTCGGAGCTTAATACAGCCTTCTTGCTTTAAAAATTAAAGTTCTTTTTAAGTAATATTTGACATCTACATGTCTCACATCCACTATACTATGGCTTATTCTGGCAGTACAAAATCCTCGATTTTAATTTTGCCTTGCAGGGGCGCCAGCTATGCAAATTCCCCAGACAGGCACAATCTTCGGAGCTAGCGGTACGTTATTGGGCACTATGTTCAAGCGTCTGGTTTTTAAATGTATATTCCTCTCCTTGCATAACCATTTTGTACTCACGTGGATGAAGACAACATTTTTCGGCCAGTATTTCTGCCCCAACTTTGCCGTGGATCAATACTTATTCTTGCAAAAATTGTCATGTTAGGATGGAAAAGTTAGACTGTCAGGCCAATATATTGAGAGAGGGTATTAAATCGGCAGGTATGTGCAATGTTTATATAGTTTGGGTTTAGTCGAACACTTAGTCACCACGCCGCCTGTGTGGCGGAGTCAGCATGCTGAGAGCGGTGAGATGGGATGCTGGGGGATGCGAGGGTAGACTGTGAGCGATATCCGTGTGTTTAACAGGCGGAGTGCGTGTGGCTGATATAACAAGGTTAGGGAAGCGTGCGATTACCATATACAGGTGGCCCAAGAAAACAGACCACCTGTATCCACTTATACCGACAATATGCCATTAACCGTACCATATCGTCATTACCTCAGCTGTTGCGTGCATCCATTTGCGTATGCGATTCAAGCGGCCTGGTGATGATCATCATATTTTACCATCGATTTCGCAGATGCCTACCATGTGTTGTGAGACAGGGGTTAGTTATAAGTGGACGCAGACGTCGCAGACGTCATCCGCATTCTACAGCTTCACCCGCCTGAGCTGGTGAATAGATAGACTGGACATTACCGAACCCGATCCAGTGTGGGCAACCTTCTTCTATGCACGCCTGAAGACTGTCTAATCCAGATTTTTCTGCAATTGCTACCGCAATATCTAAACTCACGCACCATTACATTTCGCTCAAGAAGACCGAGACTGATAATGTTTCTACTGCCACTTGATGGTGATGCAACATAATGATAATAGAACTCAAAGTATTATTGACACTCAGAGTAGTAAGAGGTGACGCGAATTACAGCCAACGATGGGTGCATTGCTCATTCGATATCAACTAGGAGTTCGAATATCGATTTGTGCTATGTTGTGTAAATAAATGTTTAAGGGCCGGAGCACATCAGAGTTTGCCTTATTTTTAAAATTCTCATCCCAGTTCATTAAGTTGTGTCAGTTGCTTCTTGGGTAGCAGCACACTCATTCCGCGTGTTTGATGCATAGATATTGTTCACAGCAAACACGCAAAACCTCTACTCACGTCCCCCTCCCAATCCAAAAAGCAACTACCATAAAACGTCGATCCTCCCATGCGGGCGGCGTGAGAACGGAGAGCTGACTATGTAATACCCCCACCTTCAAAAGTCTGTTCCGACAACCCTATAACTACTGCCCATGACTGACTATTTCATTCGCTCTGTAAACATATCAGCGATCAATGAACGAAGACATATGTTTGCCAACCGAACTTTCTCATATTCCGTATTTTAGCAGTAGGCAAGCTATTTACGTTACTTTCTATTACGCACCCTTAATTATATATCTTCAGTGGAGAGCTCCTATTCCACTTGACGTAGGTATATTTATACAACCGTCAGCTCCGACAAATAAGTAAACGCCTGCGACAGATAAATGTCCTTCTCTCAATCCCTTGATTTGCACATAACTATATTTGTCGCTCGCTTTTGACTCCTACTTGGATAATTGGGTGTAAAAAAGTTCGATTTCAGGGTAAATGTCTGCTCTCAACATAAAAAATCTTTCTGGGAAAATACCAATGTTACGATTGAAAAGTTAACGTTGCAAACGTAGGTTTTCGGCAATTCATCTTTAGGCCGATACTTTGACTGAGGGAATATTATCGTCAGCCATGTATGACAGAGTCAGCGTTTTTAGGACGTTGGGTTTCCACATTTGGGGGCGCTGTGGGCACTTTCTCAAGGTATTTGAGGTCTATGTATAAGAGACACGCGAAAAGCGTT